ACAAAAATACAGTAACAATAATTGCAGCCAGAAACACTGTTAATGTTACATTCAGCAGAACGCTGGGATCCCACGTTCACATGCACAGCCAATTACTCACTGTGACCCATCCATATCCTCCTTCCCCACACCCACCAACACACAATAAATAAATAAATAAACAGAAACTAAGGACGTAACCCCGTTGAACAAGTGCTAATGAATGAGCGTGACTTCCTGGATCGGAACAAGTGAGACTATGTAGCAAAGGAGGCCCGAGGAACTTGGTCACACAGATACATGACACAAAGGTACTGGAAGCACACGCCTTCCTGAGCACATTTCAGGCTTCCCTTCTGCCTCCGTAACTGTCATTCTTATAATTCATGGATTACTGCCAAATCAGTCTGGAAATCTATTCAGTTTTATACGAGCTCAAATAAAGATAAGCCTAGATCCTGCGTTTTTCAAGTTTAAGTCTCCCATCATTGAACCTTTTAGTTTCATTGTCTCATTTCATTCCGTAAGATGAACAGACCTGACAAAATTTTCATCATAAAAATGTTTATAATTGTAAAACTTCTCTCTGATCACTAATAGTTTTAGGACAGAGTGAAGAATCACTCACCTATTACACAGAGACAGAATATCCTTTACAGAAATATTTTGCAAGTCTAACACAGTTTACAACAGCTAAAAGTCACTTCTAATATTACTTTTAAATTAGTTTTCTTAGAAAATGAGGCTTATGATTTTTGTCAGTGCTTCCTAATAATTTTGATTGTGTCAATGAATTTCAGTAAGGCGAAAAAGGCTCAGAGCCCAGAAACCCTCAAATCCTAGCAGTTTCACGAAAGTTGCTCACTGTACAGACAGGGCAGACACAAGTCGGTGCTGTGCCCGAGGACAGATTACAGCAGAAGCTCCACAGCTACTGGCAAAGGGAACAGGTCAGTGAGCGCTGAGGCACCAGTGGGCAGAACTGCTCACTCACACCTTCACCCGAGACACTTTTTGCAGAGCCTCTTGCCCAGTCAGTAAAAGACAGAGCAAAGAATGAAGTACTAGAGAAGGGCACACAAGAAAGAGGAACCGATGACTTCTAGGAAAGGGTACAAAGATGCAAGACAAATTCACAAGGGTGCATGTGTGGCAAGGGAGGAATGAGACACCATCATTAGCTGTACTACTTTGAAAATAATTGTCTGCTTCTGCAACATTTTGTTACAATTGTCTGTCATTGTTTTCTAAATCAAAGGCAAAATCTGTTAACGAGACTATTCCAAACTAAAAAACACTGGCATAATAAACCTAGTGTTCAACAATATTTAAATAATGAGTAATCTAACACTTAAAATGCTTCTAGGTAAATATTGTCGTTCAGCAATAAAGCGCCACTGAGCTGCTGATCCACATTTACTGCATTCAGATCAGCTATCTGCACTCAGATCCACATACCAGATTAAAATCTACCTTTGGCACAAGGGGTTAAAGTCAATTATTGTATTTATTAACAACTGAACCATTCCTTTTACTTTTAGAAACCATCTCGAATGCTTCTCAACATTGCAGTAACAGAAGCTCCAGCAAACAGTGGAAAATACCATCCGTTCGTTCAACACATGCCTGAGACCCGGGCAAAGCAGCAGAAAACTATCAGCAGTCACACGGCTTTGTCCTGGCCCTAAACACAGCTCGGCAGGGCAACTAAATCTGATTTTGGCCTATTGCTCCACAGCTAGCTGACCTGGGCAAAATAAAAGGCACGCCAACACAGCCCAGCAGAAGGAACTTAGCACAATCCCCAGAAAAAAAGTCTAACTTCGTCAGAGCTCTGACCCTAACAGCCACCGAAATGAAACACTGCTAAGCCGGTGTTTTGTAGAAAAAGAATCATCACTTCAGATTTCTTATTCAATATTATTTTAACATTGGTACCTCAGTGATCTGTACTTACTCCAGGGTTATTGCCCTGAACACTAATGCTAAACTGCAAAGGCCACCTGGTTAGCCTAGACATCAGACTGACTGTTGCTTTTTGGGGACATTTTAGGAGAACCCATCAATTCAAATAAAGTACAAAGTTTATGTGCAGGCAATGAGCTGGTTAAAATTCAATCTAAATTTCTGGGCATCATTTTTTAACATTATGCTCTTTTTTTTTTTTGTTGTTTTGAATACTTACAAATTTCCTACAGTGAAATCCACCCTTTTTTTTAAATTAGCGGGCCCCTTTAAAAGTCATTCAAATGTTAGTATTTGCAGTAGATGAAGTTTTTAAAAAAAATGCAGCTAAACAGAAAAATCTTGCACATGATCCAAACATAAACAGCCTAATTTTTGCATTTCATACTGTCAACTCAAAAAAACACACGGTTAATTCTTTGCTAATTGCAGAGAATGATAAAGATCATGCACAGAGAAAAAGGAATTTGATCACTTATGGAATTCAGGCCCTCACACCACACCCTCTTATTTATTCAAATTTTCTAAAGAGGAAACAAGAAAAAAAAAATCCCAAGCCTGAGGGCACGATCTGCATGTTACCAAACCTGCCTACAGCTTAACAGGAGACTCTTTACCAACTCTCCCCTCCTTCCAGCGTCCTCTTGCTTAATTCTGGGACTGCACAAGTCAGGCATGCTAGTGCAGTTTACTTCTCTCTCTTTTCCCTCTTCCAGGTAATCTCAGCACATGGCAGGATAGGAGACAAGCAGAGGCCAAGTTGTTTAGGACTATGGAGGCAAAAATTAACAAGCCCCACTAAGACACAAAGAGCCAAAGATAATGAAACCCTGTGCAATACACTGGTTAATAAAACACAGCAGTTCACAGTCAAAACATTCTCCAACAGTCACACATCTTACACTTCAACACATAGGTGCCCAAACCAGTGGCTGAATCTTTAAGGATTTTATTATATAATCACAAATTTGCTAAGTCTGAACAATTCCCAGCTCATCCCCGGTACGTCACGGCACCACCTCTCACACTCGGCAGCGTTTCTGGCCAGCTCCCACCCTCTGCACCACTGCCCAGCTGGCGGCTGCTCACAGGGCGCCGACGTGCAGACCCGCTGCCGGCGCGCGGCCAGCGCTCACATCAGTAGGTCACGCAAGTGACTTGGCGGGCTACACGTAGAATTAATGCAGAAGGCACCCAAAATGATATTTTTGAGTCATCAGGATACGAAATGGCAGCCTTAGTAGCACAGATTTTTACCTACCCAACCAAACTATCAGGCTTTGAAACTGCAGAGAAGTGCCTGTGGATTACAGTGCCTTCTCCGCATCCCCACGCTTCCTGACAGGAAGCTCACGATGAGACTTTACCGAGATTAAAAAGAAGGCAGAGAATCCTTAAACAGTTCAAGAGAAAGGGTCCCACTCCTTCAAATCCACTTGTGCCAACGGTGCTGCAAAGAAGCAACAAAGAGTGCACGCACAGATACAACTGTGTCACTACAGCAAGAGAAACACAAAACCAGTGACAGGGAAATAGAACAGGAGGATGACTTCAGAGCACACAAGCAATACGTAACACCAGCTCAATCACCAGAAACCCCCCTGCAATTCATTTCTGTTACTTCCTCAGAGCACAATTGATCTGGACTGAGAACACATCAGGATTAGACTTAGATTAGTCAGAAAACAACAAGCGATTATCGTAAAACTCCACTACATGTCCTCTATTTTTCCAGAAACCTACTCACATACTTACGTGACTTCACGCAAAATATCAGCTTTCACAAACAAAAATAAAAAAAGACAAAACAAAACAAACAAAAAAAACTTTCTAATCTTGCCCATGCACAAGGAAAATAAAATGCGACCCCAGTGAACCCTGAAGTCTCAGAAGTCACACGGAAACCAAAGAATTAAGTTTTGAGTGTTTTTTTTTCCCCTAGTCTTAAGATTTCTAGGCCAACTACATGGTCTTGGGGAACTGACTTATAGGTATTGTTGTTAACATCTGAGGTTAGATCTACAGATGCCACATTTCTGAAACACAGGTACCTATATGGGATTCCATCTAATATATTCTGAAAATAAGTGTCTGGAGCAAAGCGTGCAATTCTTCACACCTTAATGATGGCACTGCCTTAAGAAAATGCCTGTTTGATTTAAATCAAACCATAATTCTTACTTAACGGTAATTCCAACAGGGAAGTGAAATACTGTTTTGAGGCTAAACGGGGCTGAAAAATAGCATGCTAATTTCATAACCTCTTTGAGGGACAAACTAGTAAAGGGCTGCAGCACATTTTCAGTACCCTATCTTCAATTTAGGCCACCTATCTTGGGTCCAATTCAACCAGTGCATAGGCATCTGAAAAAGCCACTACATAAACCACAATCTTGGGAAGTTCTTGACGCAGCAGACTAAACAATACCTGAAAGGTAGGATTCAATCACGTGCAAGAACTTAGCCGGGTTTTTCCACAAGAACTAAGCTAAAGCCTCGATACAACAAAAAAAAAAAAAAAGCAGATGACCCCAAACCCAGATCATTTTCGCACTTATCGTTACAGATTCACCCAAAGCTGACAAACTTTTACGTTTTGAGTATCCTGCCGCGCGTTACGCTGCGTGGACTTGCTTCTTGTGCGTGCTTAACGCCGAAAGCCCGGCTATCTCTTTATCTTGCCAAATTACCATTTCCAACCACCGCGCTTGGCAGGAGGGAGGCTCTGCCTCTCCCTGCCGCCGGAGACACCCGCACACGCCATCCCCGCGCAGGGGCCGCCTCCCGCCCCGAGCACAACGTCCACGCCACCCCCGCGGCTTGGGAAGGCACGCAGGGACTCGGGAAGCAGGTCCCGGGTGGGGGGAACCGCGGGCTAAACGGGGCCACTCGGGGCCGGCCCGCGGCGCGGCCGCCGCCCGCGCTCCGCCTCGCGCCTCTCCCGGGGCCCGCGGCGGCGGCCATGGCGCGCGGGGGCCCCGCGGCCGTTGGGCGGGGCGGTTGGGCCGTTGGCGGCCGCGGGGGAGCCCCGCGCGGCCCATGGCGGCGGCACTGACCTGTCCTCCGAGTCCATGCGGCTCAGCGGCTCCCCGTCCGAGGACATCTCGAGGCTGCCGCGGCGGCCCCCCGACGTGGCGCTGCTGCAGCTGC